CAAGGAGGCCCTGCCATGGGGCAGGGGAGGGGCTGCTTTTTCCCCAGGCTTGGCTTCTCTCTGGGCTCCTTCCCCTCCCCCCCCACCCCCAATGGTCCCACTGGGCTTCCCCTGGGCCCTACTGCCCCTGGTTCCTGTCAAATGACAAGAACCAAAGACAAATTAATATTTAATTTTTCTAAATTTTTTTTAGGGGCCCCGCAGGAGAATGGCCTGCATCTGGCCCGTGGGCTGTATTTTTGTCTACCCCTGCTCAAATTGGTATAAACACTTCAGGAAACAGACCTGTCTTTAAAGATCTGCAATGGTCAAAACAATGAGTCAATGTCCCAGTTTGATTATCTTGCCTGGGAACAGAGGGGATCCCCTTTAGTAAACCATATCAGGGTGGGGGGGGAGGGGGGGAACCCAATGCCCTTTCATAGTGATGGGATGGTTTAGTCCAAGTTCACTTAAACATCAGTTCTGTGCTTAACAGCCATCAGAAAGGCAAACAAAATGTTAGGGATGATTAAGAAGGTGGTTGAAATGAAACAAAGCATTGTGATGTTCCTTTTATAAATCCATGGGGCGTCCACATTTAACAGGGGGCCTGCTCGGGGCTGATTTCACTGTGGTCCGCCCTTCCTGTTTCTGGGCTAACTGCCCACCTTCTCGCCCACCACACCTTGTTGGTAACTAATTAATAGATGTTAATCAAGCGGGAGACTGCCCATTACTCTGCCCCAGTGCCAGGGGGCACTCGCAGTCACCGGCCCCATGCTGGACCCCATAATCCTAGTGTTGAACCCCTCCATGATCCCTCCATTCTGGAGGCCTAATCTGCCTTCATTCTGGGCAGCATCGGTACCTGAACTGCTTCCCCTTCCAGGTGTAGTCCCCCCAGGACTTTTGGCTCACTAGCCCTGGCCCACCTGCAAGCCAGCTGGAACCCATGCCCTCAGCTCTTGGGCGTTCCTCATGGTGGGCCTTTGGCCCTCTGACCCTTCTGGGCCTGGCCCCAGCATTGACCAGTCTGGGGAAGTCCAGACAGGCATGTCTGTCTGTCTGTCTTGGGGTCCACCCTCCAGACCCTACAAAAAGGGTAACCCACCCAGTTGTGGGGGCTAGGGGTTAAGGCACCCTGACCTGCCTTTCACCAGGTTGGTAACTGGCCTGGCACTTCCTGGGGGCTCCCACGCCACTCAGAGCCCCTCCAGGCCACCCACTCCCAGCAGGGTGCAGTTTTTAGGTCATGCCCAGGACCAGGAGCCTCCTGACCATCCCCTACATCTCCTCCCTTACCTCCAGATTATACCAGCAGCCCTACAGCCAGACAGTGTTGTTGCCTGGCCTTCTAGTAGCGAAATGTCCTGTTTATATGGGCAGCCCTGAATCTAAAATGGCTGCCTTAATCAGGCACCTGCTGGCTGCTGTCTTCTGGCCCTTAAAGTGGCAGGCACAAACAGTGCCCTGCTACACCACACCTTGATGCTGTGCTTGCGTCTGGCCCCTGTACCTGCAGAAGGATCTAGAAGTGCTTGAGAAGGTCCAGAGAAGGGCAGCAAGGACCATGAGTGGTATGGAGGGGCTTTCCTATGAGGAGGGACTAATGAAGCCAAGCCTGTTCAGTTCGAGAGAGAGAGAGAAGTGGGACAGGATCAGGGTCCAACAAAATACTAAATGGCGAAGAGAGAGTTCATAAATCCATAGGGATTTATTATTGACGGTCTTTCACCAGACAAGTATGAGGGACCACAACATGAAACGAGCAGGCTGTTAGTTTCAAGTGAACATAAGGCACTTTTTTTTTTTTTCCACCCATTGGGTCATTCAAGGGTGAAACGTGTTGCCACCATATATGGAGGGAAGCTCAGAGGTCAGCTAGATTCACAAAGGAACAGGACACGTCCTCGGAGGAAAGGGGCATCAGTGGCTGTTGAGCGCAGGAGTGAGGGGCACAGCCTCTGATTCAGAACATCTTAAACCTTAAATGCTGGAGGCTGCAAGTGAAAGAGGAACAGGGGACAAAAAGTATGCTCAGACCCAGTTCACTGTCCCTTCCAGTGTCCTCTTTGCTGTCGTGTGACACAGGAGACCGGGGCAGGTGGACTTAAGATCTGGTTCAGGATGTGGCAGTTCTTGTTCTCTTATGTTCTGAGGCTAATCCTGTCTTGGCTAGATGTGACCTGGTGAGGTCACTTACAGCCCTGTTTTCCCCTGACCCTAGAACACGGAAAGATCCCATTTGAAAATTAGAGCTGCAGAATTTGACCTGAAGCTGGTTCGAGTCAGATCTTTGGCTCAATGGTGAACATGCCAGTTAGCCAAGACTCTTCTTTTCGTCACCCTTTCAGTTCCATTCTGGCTTGGACTTGACTCTCCCTTGGTAATAACAAGGCTGACAGAACTTTGCTTGAATTACTGGGAAGTGCCCATGCTTGCATTTCCAGAGTAGAAATCTGATTAAAGGGGGCAGAGAAGTGACAGACATGGAGAGCCCTGGCCCAGACTGAGTGCCATTGTTGCTGGATGACCTCAGCCACATGGCTTTGCCCCATGTGTGCCTTGGTTTCTCATCTCTTTTGACTGGTGGTAGCCAAATTTTTTTGTGGCCAGCTAGGCCCAAAGGATGTTAATGACACCACTGGGATGTGGTGACAGTGGATTCCATAGCAGGTACCCCCACAGCATCCAGTGGGATCTCCAGTCCCTGCCCTGCTCCCTGAGTGCCTCTCGGACTCCTATAGTCTCCTTTTTAACTCGGCGCCCAGGGCCCACATGCCAGTCACACTGGCTGCCTGTGGCACTGGTTTCAGTGGAGAGACTCTTCTCTTCCGTTAGGCTGAAAAAAAGAGGTTTAATCCAGAGCTGATCCCAGGTTTTGGGACGGTTGCTTCCTGGCAATTAACTCCAATTAGCCTTTTGTCCCATTCTTTTGGATACTTCATGGGTACTTCTGTTGAGCCAACAGGCTTGTAAAATACATGGATTTTTTGGGGGGAGGGTGGAATCTGAGTCCATTTTCAGCCCCAAAGTGCTTTGGGATGGGGGGAGGGGTTGATCTAAAGGGCGGATTCAGGAAGGCTTCCCTTGATCTGAATCTCTTCTCTGCTCTTATCCCAACAGGACCTGTTTAGGAGGCTGAGGCTGCAGGACAAACCATGTTTCACTTAAGGACTTGTGCCACTAAATTGAGGCCGTTGACGGCTTCACAGACTATTAAGACAATTTACCAACACAGGCCGGCAGCCCCAAGGACGTTTCAACCCATCAGGTGCTACAGCGCGCCTGTGGCTGCCGAGCCCTTCTTGAGTGGGACTAGTTCAAACTATGTGGAGGAAATGTATTATGCCTGGCTGGAAAATCCCAAAAGTGTACATAAGGTAAGGAGCAGCTCTACCAGGTCTCCACCTCCCACTGCCATGGTGGTGGGGGCCGAGTAGGGCATCCGGGTAAGTGAGGGTAGATCCCTGTCTGAAGAACCCTGTGAAGAATGGACTACCTGCTTACTGGCAGCGCATGGCTGAGCTGAAGCCCAGTGAGAAGATACCTTCCCACTTCAAAATGCATTGGACTTTTGGAGTTTATCCGGGACGCGCCTCTTCATGAACGGAACCAGGATACAAGTGGGAGTAGTGGAGTTTCCCACCTTCTCTAAGAAGCTGCTGATTTTCCTCCTAATAAAAGCTTGGGGGGGGTATTTCTTGGGATGGGAGGAGAAACTGTGTTCAAGCCCCCGCTTGTCTCCTACCCAGAGCTGAGAGAAGGGGCACATTGCCTTGAGGCTTGTTGCCTTAAAACCCATGTGAAGCTTTGTGGCTCGACGGCAGGCAGGTACCCTGCTTTGAGTGACTGTGTACTGAAATGCTTGGTATCATGAGAAGGCCACATGCTCCTGTGCACCAGTCTTGGCTGCTGACTCGTTCAGCACTCGGAAAATAGCCTTGCTTATGAGGCGAGCAAATAATTACTCTAGTCCAGTGGTACTCAATATTTTGGCTCTGTGGGTCAGGTGAATGGCGGGGTGGTCTGTCCATGGGCCAGATCAGACCCCGCGTGCCAGGATCAGGGCCCCATGCTGCCTATGCCCATCCCTGTGTGCCATGATGGGCATTCTAGGGCCTGGCATTACCTCCACTCAGCTTGACATGCCAGGCCTTATGCTACCTCTGCCTGGCCCCACATGCCAAGATTGGGGCCCTGCTCCATCTCTGCCCAACCCTGAATGCCAGGATTTGGGACACATGCTGCCTCTGCCT